TCCAATCTTAAAGTGGCCAAGGTTGAGAATGGGAATGAAAGCAGGCTGCTAGACTATTTCAGCCTTTCCTTTCCTTTCCTTTCCTTTCCTTTCCTTTCCTTTCCTTTCCTTTCCTTTCCTTTCCTTTCCTCTTCCCTTCTTCCTAATATGCAAAGCCACAAGAGATTCCTCTGTAGATCTCTTCATTTCTTCCAACAAGCCATCTCAAAAGACCTTTTCCTCTTTAAGTCAGGATCCAAGCACCAAAAGGCAGATGGTCCAGGGTCCTCCAGGAGTTTTGCACTACATCTCCCATTAACCCCAGCTAGAACAGCCAATGGCTTTGTTCTCCAAAAATTATTTGAAGGGCACCAAGTCCCTTAATGCTAGTGTGCAAAATCCCAGTGCTTTTGCTTTTTAGACTGATGTGCTGACTTCCTTACATCGTACTAAATGCAGTGAATGTATTTTATTTTCACTGCCATTTCATCGGTGGGTTGGAAATCACAAGAGGACATCAACTCCTTTCCCTGGGAAGGTAAAATATGGCTGCTTAGCTGTGGACCGCCCAACCAACTGGGGAAGAAGCTTTTCAGATCTCCCTTCATGTTTTTATCTCCATGTAGACCAGTAGCAGGGAAACGTATATTTGTGGTCAAACTGCAATTCCCAGTGACCATCACTGCTGGCCACTCTGGTTAGGGCTGCTGGAAACCGCAGCCCAACCCCATCAGGAAAGCCACAAATTCTGCACCGTTCAGAAAAATAACGCTCTGAATTTTTAGACCCAAAGCCGAAGCTTGCAGCCAATATGATGCTTTCGCCTAGAACAAATCAGAAGAATGGGATCTCATACCCAGAGCAGCGAAGAAAATGTTCCAAGCTTTACAAAGGCACAGAATACTCCCCAAGTCTTTGTTTTTAAGCAATGCTTTTGTTTTAATAAACATACAAAATTAGTACAAACAAAGGGGAATTCCATACATGGCACTACAGGGGAAGGAAGTCAGTCAGTCCAGATGGTCTTCCGTGCTTAATATTAGAAACAGCATTAATAGGACTCCAGAAGCCGGTGTGTTTGTCTGAACAGCCACAACTCCAAGAACCACAGGCACACCAATTTTTTTTTTGACCCTACCTCAATCAAAGCTTCGTACAGCAGAGGACCAGGGACAGAAGAGCCCCAACAGACAACTTTAATAGGAAAAAGAGAGAAGCCAACCAAGTTGAAAAAGAAGGATTTCCCTCCCCCCCAACAACAGCGTGGCCTTTCCAACTTGGCCGAGCCTCCAAGTTAGAGTCCAACATCCATAATCCCTAGCCACCAGGGACATCCAGCAGAGGTAGGAAAGAGCAGGTGGTTTGGGAGATGGGCAGATTTCACAGGAGTTGTGGAGTCTGCTCCTAAAACTTCTCCAAGGAAGCTTTCAGGGACCACAGCGGATCAGATTCTGACCAGCTTCCTTCTCCTCCATCTGCCCCCAAAAGAGGACTCACTAACTCACTTTTACCTCTGCTGAACTGCAATGTCCACCTTGCATGGATGATGAGGGCCAGAATGCTCATGCTTTGGTGGTGAAATTCAGGTACAGCAAGAACCCCTTTTTAATAACTAGAACAAAAGGTTTGGGTAAAGGCTTCAAGTCACACTTCTCATATGGTTTGCCATGCTTTTCTCTTTAAAATTCCCTTGAGCCCATTCAGCTTCCAAACCCAGAGGAGATCAGCCAGATGCTCCTCCCGTTAAGATATTTTTATAACTACATATAAAAATAGCAAACACCGTTGAGAGTCAATTAACAGTGCATAGGTATGGGTTAACGCTCAAATATCTTCTAGTTGGAGCAGCAAGTATGTATTAGGATCCTTCGTCTTTTCCTGATCCATAAAAATGCCAGATTCCCCATTGGTTTTGGAAGGGCAAAGGGCCTGCAGATCATCTTCAAGCCACTGCTGATGATCTTGAAGTTCTAAAAGTGAAGATTTCCACTCTCTTTCCTCAAACCTGACCATCCATTCTGGATTTAATAGGCTTCTACTCCAAACCTTTGGTTGTATTAATTCTGCCAGATCAGTTTCCCAATAGTATCACACACACCATCCTGAAAAAGCTCTCCCATCAGGGGAACAGACATGTTGTGACCCACACGTTCTAAGGGAGTAATATTATGCATCTTATGGAGAAGAAAAACATCTCATAGAGATACGTGAAAGATGGAGTTCAAAAGAGGTTCTCCCAACCATTTTGGAAATGAGCTGAGCTCAAAACGTGTCCCTCTCAAGTGCAAAACAGTTCTGGGGAGTCGGGGACACTCGTTTCAAGTGCAAAATGAGTGTTCGGGGGCTCAAACTGAAGTATTCCAAGTTCAAAGCAATTTAAATTCTACCTATTTTGCACACTCCAAAGAGATTTTCATGCAGTGCTTGGCCCTTTCTTGAATTGTGGCTAGGATTCAGATTTTGTTTTTCAGGGTGGGGGGAACAAAGTGGGAGATAGGTACAGCCACATCACACATGAGAGAGTTTAGGTTGGGACATTATGGTAGAGGGTCTCTGTCTCTCTCACTGTCTATCTGAAATACAGCTGTTTTAGGGCATCTCCTCAGAATCACAGAACATCGTCATCCGTTTCCAGTGATCACCCAAGGGGCTCTGGAGACCACCGAAAAGGGATCTGTGCGTTTCCTGCAGCTTCACTGAGAGACCTCTCAGCCAGATTGGATTGATAATAGCATCTCTTTTAAGAAGAAAATAAATTCTGCAGTTAACAATTTATCCCAAAAGGCACCAAGTATCAAAGTGAATTATTCTAGCATTATCTAGCAGGGCAGGAACAGAGCTTCAAAAATTGCTTTCCAGCACAAACTCATAGTAGGTTGCCTTTCAAGTACAGAAAGGTAAGGAGCCATAACAGGTAGGACGAAGGAAAATGGAGGGGAGAAATAAAATTGAGGAGCGGGGTTAGAGAGGGACTGGGGTTGGAACCAACAATCGAAGGGACCAGGGTTGCACGAGGATGTGGCGTAAATCAAACCAAGATCAATAAATTAGCAAAAGAATAAGAACGGTTAGACTTGGATTAACCCAAAACAGGCGGTCTGCAACCTTTAAGTAGAAAGAAAATTTGAGGGGAAGTCAAGGGGTGGGGATGGGGGGAGTGCAGGCTGGACAGCAGAGATCCCCGGAGACCCGTCTGCAACTAGATCTGCAGGAATTGCAGCTTTGGCTCCTCGGGGGCACAGGAAGCAGCGTGTGCTGTGTGTGTCTCCCCGCAGCTGGGCTATAAGGTGGCAGAACGGGAACTACTTTCCCACTCCAGCTGGGGCGGTCAGTC